ATCCATCCATCCATCCATCCATCCATCCATCCATCCATCCATCCATCCATCCATCCATCCATCCATCCATCACTGGAAACACTGAACATAAACACCAAATATAAGTTTGTATTTATGTTCAGTGTTTATGAAAAACCTTCATAATGTAAATGTAGATAAAAAGCTTTTACCAGTATGGTCAGTTTTTAAAGGGCTCTGCAATTCCTGCCATATTTCATCTCTCCTATAATCACTTCAATCCCTTCTTTTCTCGTGCTTCTTAAATAGTATTGAAACAATATAAATAAAATAGGTATAAAATAAAGTATTTTTTATCAGTAATATTTATCTGGGTTAGTATTGGTGCAGTTTGCTCCCTCACATTGAAATAGTAGAGCTTTTCCCTTAGACTTCAAAGAGCAGAAAGATTCGTCACCTTTTCATTATGCAGCCCCAGAAATAACACATCACTCAAAATCCTCAGCGGTTTGTACTGAGGAATATCAGAAAGTGTGCTGGTGCACATGTGCATGTGTGTTTTAATGCATGCATGTGAAGTGATATTGTCACATTGGACACGAGGAGGACTGAGAGCGTAGGGTGAGTGTTGAAGTGAAGTGGCTCCATTGGCAGCCGCTCCCCTGCTTTTCACCTGCCACAGGTGGCTCTTTCATCTCTCCCATCCACCTCCCGTCTCTCCTACCCACTGATAATCAATCCCTCGGTTTTTTGCCCCTAAAATTAAAAAACCGAAAACACAAATCAGTATTAATAAGGCGGTATATTGTTGCAGCAAGTGCATTTATTAATGAGACAAATTTAAGAAGCTGCAAGCCCCCCTCCATTTGATTTATTTAAATATATTTCTTCCAGCTCCCAAAGAGAGAAAAATATTTCTTTAAAACATTTATGAACAAATAGCAAAAGTCATATACCATTGGGGAGTTTATTTATAGTAACATCTGGGTCGTAAAATCTGACAGCGGGATACGTTGCAGATAAAAGCAGCAAGTTGTGATTCATTGCTTTATGAGATGAGCTTATCTCTGTCATTACGTGAACATTTATGAGCAAATGGTTTTTGGCTCTTTTACGTGTTTCATGCAGCGGGACTGGTTGTCGTTGCAGCTGGATAACGGTATTTCCAGCTGCTGATAATTCAGTTATGAGTTATGCTCATAAAACCTGGAGGAGAGAAAAGCTCAGACGATTTTTTTTAAAACAACTTTTAAAAGGCTGCTTATCTTAATGATAGGCCATCCCCAACGAGGCCAACATCTGTTTCTGGGTGAGATACGTCTACTTTAGAGAAAAGTGACAGCCCACAGTGTCCGCAGGTGCTCTAATTGCAGCACTGCTCTTGTCATAGAAATAGAAAAGGCAGCTGTTTGCAGCGTTTTAAATGCTCCTCGTGAAACAAGCGTCTTTCCAAAAGTTGTTCACAATTTTTTCATCACATTAATCATTATCAACCAAATAGAAATATGTCTACAGATGTTCATATTTGTAATAAAAATGAATCATGAACTCAGAAAAACAATTCTGTTTTAATTTTTTTGGTTTTAATCATTTATCTGTCCTTAGAAACCACTGATATTTTATACAACTTCGTTGAAAGATTACTTTTTTAGAAGAAATACTAGTCCTTCAATTGAATGTGGTCAAAAATATGTAGCAACAATTGCAACATTATTGGCTCTACGCTGGTGAGAAATTCTCAGTCAAAAAAGGAAAATTAAAAACAATCCACTGGACTTTGTTTCCAAGTTTGAAGATGTTCCTCTTCCCATCCAGGAAGCTTTTTAATTCAAAATGTCAGAAATAGTGTTGAGTCCCAGGTTTTATAAAGTAGCCCAACAACGTAGACGAAGGGCTCCACCCCTTTGGCTAATGCATAAAACCTCGAACTCAAAGCTTTTTCTGACATTTTGAATTAAAAAACCTTCCTGGATGGGAAGAGGAACATCTTCAAACTTGGAAACAAAGTCCAGTTAAATGCTTTTAATTTTCTTTTTTTTTAGAATTGTTGCCTCTATTTTAACATTTTAACAATTGAGATTCAATTTCTAATACTGAGAGCAGAACTATGATAGAGTTGTGCTTAAAGCATTGCCTTTTATAGCTCAACATTTGCTGTTCAACATGCATGTTTATAAACCACTGAGGGTACTTTCTCTCATTCAGGTACTGTGTTGGCCTTGGAGCTCGTACTCTAGTCTGTGCATCCTAAATATGAGTCAAACTAGGATGGCCTTTGGACCGTTCCCCGTTCTCTACACCCTGCATTGGCTCGCTATACTTTTTAAAATAGATTTTGAGGTTTTATTGTTTGGTTTTCAGGCTTTAAATCGTCTCGCTACAAAGTATTTTTCGGAAATTTTAATTCTGCAAGAGCACAACCGGTCATCTTTAAGTCTGCTGGTTTTGCCACGGTCAGGGTATGAAGGGGGAGGTGATCAATTCAATTCAGTTTATTTCTATAGCTCCAATTAACAACATGTCATCTCAGGTCACTTTATAGTTCACCAGATCAT